AAACCATTGTTTAAAAGACAAACCTCTGTGCACTGTATTTTGCTCCAGGGTTATCTCAAAAATAGTAGTCATGCTGTGTGCACTCTGACAGGACCAAATCTAACAGAGGAATCGTTGTGTAGATTTAGACATCAATGATTGTGGGAGATGTAATTCAAAGCCACCCCTGGATTAACCAACATAGTATTGCCATCAAATACTATATTTTTCAGAGTATAAGAAGCACCTGAGTATAAGACTCACCAAGGTTTTGAAGAGGCAAATTAAAAAAAAAGTTTTTGCACTCTACAAACCTCCCCAAAACAACCTGCTTTTTGCAAAAATGCCCCCCCCCTTTTTAAAAGAGAGCATGAATAACCTTTAGGAGGCTGGGAGGGGGCACAATTGAGCAAAAAACGGCCCATTTTCTTGCTCATTTCTGCCCTCTCCAGCTCCCAGGAGCTCCATGAAAGCCTCCTACAAGCTATGCATGGCCATTTTGGTGAAGAGGCAGGGTTTCAGGAGGCAAAAAATGCTGTATTCAGTGTATAAGACGCACCTAGATTTTCAGCCTCTTTTTTGAGTGAAAAAGATCCTTCTTATACTCTGAAAAATACGGTAGTTGTTAGAACCTTTGCTTAGTTTTGCCTTAGCAAGTGGAAATACCTGAGAGGCCTTGTTTGACCTCACAAGCTAAGTAGGGTCAGGTCTGGTTAATGTTTGGCTGGGAGAACCCCAGTTACAGTCTAGAACAGAGTCAAAATGAAAATAAAATGCCAGATGGCAGCAATAGCAAAGCTATTTTGTTTTATTACTAAGAAAATTAAATAGATCTTTCTGTGGGGTCACCAGAAATCTGTCTTGATGTGGAGACTTTATTTTTTCCCTGTTTTCTTATGGGAAAACCCTGAGTGGTGAGATGGCCTAAAGGTGGAACTCTCACCTCACAATCTGGACGCTGTGGGTTCGATCCTAGGTAGAGGCAGATATTTCTCTCTCGGGGCACAATGAGAATATATCTGCTGAACAAAAAAACGCTGCATTGGCGACAGGAAGGTCATCCGGCCATTAAACACTCTGCTAGCTCCATTTAGTTGCCCAGTCTCCACTCGGCATGGGGTTATGGAGTCGTTAAAAGAAGACGATGATGCCTTGCGGGAAAACCCTGATGACTATAGTCCTATTATTTTAATGACTGCCTTTTTTCATGAATATTGCCCATTTCAATAAGCTACAGAAATCTTGGTCTGTTTATTCCTTATACTCATCATTTACTTTTTCTACTTTTGTTAGTCATAAAGATGGTTATGAAAAATACACCGCATGGAAAAGGATCTGGACCAGTAATGGGAAAAGTGAACCCAGCCCCAAAGCTTTTATGGCTGATCAACAGCTTCCTTACTGGGTAACAGCCTTTTTTGTTTATAATGATGCATCTTTCTGCAAGCACATTTTTTCATTTTTTTAAAAATTCCACATGATTTCAAGGTGTAAAGAAAAACTTGTTGACACCTAATCGATTCTCAGTAGCCCTTCCTGATACAAGTGCTGTGCTGTAGATTTTGGGTTCTTACAGTGAACGATCAGAATAGGTAACTCGTTCAATTCATTAGAACATGTAATAGGGATTGGATAGACACTGTCTGCATACATGTATTTGGTGCAAAGGTGGGTTCCTACCAGTTCACACCTATTCGGTAGAACCGGTTCGTCAAATCTACCGAACCGGTTAGAAGAGGTTCCACCAGTGGACCCGGAAAGNTGTGATATCTAAATAAAAGTAAATAGAATGCAGACCATAGTCCATCTATGGGTTACTACCGTGTTTCTCCAAAAATAAGTCAGCGTCTTATTTTCTTTTGACCCCCGAAATAAGCGGCTTGGCCTTATTTTTGGGAGATCTTATTATTTTTGAGGTGCAGAAGGCGGTGAGTATGGTCACCTCATGGCTGCTGCTGTGTTGCAATATTTTTGGGGAGGGCTTATTTTTTTTTGGGGGGGAGAACTTATTTTAACACATGCACTTAAAAACCAGATAGGGCTTATTATCTGGGGAGGTCATATTTTTGGAGAAACAGGGTGGACAGTTTTCGATAGACTATCGGAACAATTCCTGGTGGTTGGATTGTTCTTTGGAATACCTCTGCTAAGTGTTTAGGGAGGCTTTTTATAAAATTGATGAATTGGTAGCCTTAGTATTTTTAAGGCCTATAGAAGACGGGAAAAATATGATGCACAAGACTCTTGGTATAGTTGCTTATGTCTTCAACTGTTCAACTGATTAAGGAATTCTATACAAATATGCAAGTGGGAGTCCCCCAGAATAAAAACCTCAATGAGAAAAATAGAAGCTTTTCTCTCTGTCTTTTTTGAATCCAGTGTAGTTAACACCACGTTGGCTCTTACGTTCATGAAGACAGTGTATATTCTGATCACTTATCAAGCATTAGTTACATTTTAGCTCTCTGTGAGTCTTCAGGTATAGTCTTAGATACCTGGCACATCATGCAGAATTTTCAGAAGAATATAGTTGCTTCTGCTTCCCATCACAGTTGGAATCTTCTATAAGAGGCAAAGGTTTCAGAAAGATGTTAAGAGGTTTCTCAGGTGTTATGTTGGCTTAGAAAGTAAAATTATTATTCAATGTTATTATCTGTTCACAACAAAGTGAAGTCTGAACTTCACAGTAACTCATTCACTCATTATTTATGCCTAACAGTATTTGGCTTGATAATAGCTTATCAAAACTGGTCATTTGACTTATAAACCATAGTTAACTTTCATATATAAACAAAACCACTTCAAATGTTAGATAAAACAAGCCACAACTTAATGCAATATTGTAGTCAATCGGAGAATATGCTTACTTTGTCATTTCATGTTGGATAAAAAAGGAGTTCTGGGAGCTTGTACCTCAGCCATCTGACCAGAAAGTGGCAGCAGCAAGCAGGAAGAATGCCACTTTTGCTAAATTCCGAGGCATTAAAAACCCCCAATCTTTTCGATTATTGCTGCAGTAAATCATTGTGATGTATTCAGTGTGGACTGGAATACTAATCAGCTTTCTATTTCTTAACAAGAGCTATTCAGTTTGTAAGGTGCGGTACTGTATTTTGTCGCTGGGAAAATGCAATGTTATTGTTTTTTCTCACATCCAAATGTTGATCTGTCCATCGTTTGTTTCTGCAGCTGCATTTTAAGACAGACATATTCTGTTAATTAATGCAGATCACATTTCTCTCCCCTTCCTCCAGGGGCTTGTTTTAACCAAATACTCCAAAGCCTTTTTAACATCAAGGCATCTCTTTTCTGTTTCCCTTTCCTCATTTTTTCCCCCTTGCATTAGTGTTTGGAACAAAAACTGGAAAATGAGTTCTACACTGGCTTCTTCCGGTGGGATGAGGTGCATCAAAATGATGTCTCTGGCCTGCTGAAGAGATTTATTCGAGAGTTACCCACACCTCTTCTGACAGCAGAATACTTGCCTGCCTTTGCAGCTGTGCAGAGTAAGTGCTAGGCCAAACAGAGAAGATTTCGTAGCCTTCAGCACTCATGTTTTTCTCGCTTTGCTTGGGCGGGGGGAAGGGGGGTGTTTGGCCTTACGCTGCAGTGGATGTGTTGCTGGACATGTTCTGTAGCTGTCTGTGTGTATTTTCTTGCTCGGTCAGAAGGATATGTTTTATATAATCTAGAAGTAGGTGCATCATCTGCTACCTCCTAGATTTCTTGCTCCACTTGGATTTTATTGTATACTTATAATAATCTTATTTGAAATAAAAATGGGAAAGGATGATGATATGTCTCAAACAAAACAGTGACATTGAGCATCATAATTTCCAAGAATTAGAACCTCAGAGTTCCTTATGACCTTGCAGAAGGAAATAAAAAAATGATGTGTGCCTATAGCCCAGAGCTGTATTCGGTTCCACCACAAAACCATGGTCGACTAAAGCGCGCTCGCCGAAACCGCGTACCTGACGTCATCACAGCGCGACGAAAAAAGCACGCTGTGAGCGCTAAAGCTAAAATTAACCCCGAAACCTAACCCCCCGAAACCTAACCCTAACCTTTAACTTAACCCTAAATCTAACCCTAACCCTTAACCTAACCCTAACCTTTAACCTAACCCTAAATCTAACCCTAACCCTTAACCTAACCCTAG